AAAGGGTGCTAAACTATTTGGTATAGCTAGAACTGGAAGTTTGTGTTCTAACATATCCAAAAGCCACAAAAATCTGCTTTGAAGAAATATTATGTAAGTTAGCTAAAGTTACTTTTAATGTTATTTTTCTTGCATCCACTGAAATATAAAATTAGTTTTTGCTGCTTGGTAAGTCTGAAATCATGAGCTGTGGAAAATGCCAACTTTGCTTTTAGAAATTTCTAGAAAAAATAATGATAGCAAAGCAAAACATATTGTATAAGAGGAATGCTCTAAGTAGTAGGGATGACACTAGTTTTTCAGTCATTTATTTTGGTTGAAATAATGTGGAAGAAGGTTGGTCTTATGCAAGTTCAGTAACTTCTTATGTTCGTGTTGGGTTACATGTCGAAATTCATTTTGAAAAAATCTCTTAATCTCCAAGATGCACTTTCCTTTTTTTTTTTGAATCATGTAAAATGGCCAGGATTTGATTTTGATGCATAACATAGTCATAGAAACTTTATCATAATGAAACATAAAATAGAAACCAGGCTTAAAGTTGATGTTATTTTCATAGTTGCAATGTGAATTTAAATAATAAAAGAAACTTAACTTCTGCATTCTCTTTTAAAATTTGATACTTCTACATGTTATTTAATTGTAATATAATAATGCAGCGAAAAGGTTTATGCACTGACCAAGGGTGCGTTAAATAATCCATTAGTAAAAGATAAAGCATATCGCCTAAAAATACGATATCCTATAACCAAAAGTGGACCTTTTTATTTCAGGGGCAAACTGGGAATGACTGTGTAAAGCAAAGTGTGAGATAAAGTGAAGTTTGATTGACATCATGCAAGCATGGAAATCCAGAAGTGTTTTCACTTACTTTCTCATTTCCAGTGCAATACTACCAGCAACAAAAATGTTAGATATAAAGAAGTTAGAGTTGTATTGTTTTAAAAAAGAATAATGGTAAAGAGAAACTACAAAGAGTGTTAAACAGATATAATTAAAAAATAACATGGAAATTATCATAAATAAATAAGTATTAAAAAGATTGGTGGTAAAAACTGAGAATTCATGGATAAAAAAATTAACTTTATTGTTCTGACATCACTGAATAGTACTTATAGTTGTAAGCCAATAGGTTTTTCTTATCTCTCCATTGGCTATAATATGGATGAGTTACATCAGTAATAGAATGACCAGGTTGGTTAAAGTGTTTGGCAACAGGGAGGTCTTATTCGGTGTTATTAGAAGATTTATGGTTGTTGAAACTCACTCTAAAGAGTTGTTTGGGTCTGTATTACATACTGGTGATTGCATTTTGTACATTGTATGAGGTAAATGGTATTTTGTGTTGTGCAAGTAATTTCTTTAGAAATTTTAAAGTATTTATAATCATATTTGTTGGAAAATGAGTATAGTTTTTTATAAGCTTGCAGGTTAGACAACCAGCTTTATTACATAGATGACAATCCTTAAGACTTCTGCTCCTCTGGCAGGAGATGAAGGGAACTTCAGGAAATATTTGTCTAAGGCAATCATTCAGTTGTAGTAGATGAAAATGTTTTTTCAGAAAATTTTTCTGAGTTTAAAGTGATAGGTAATAATAAAAGGAATTCTGTTTGAAACCTTACTATTAGACTGTAGGGATTGTTTTTCATTAAGTTTTGTTAGCTTTTTCAATCTGTTTTTCCATTTTGTTATATTTATGCCCTCTTTGTAACTTTTGTTTTAGATCATTGGTGTGTTTTATGTAATTTGTTTCATTCGAACATTTTCTGTATTCAGAGTTTGATTGTAGGTGATAGTCCATTTAGTGTGAATGGGGTGGCAGCTATTATAGAGAAGATCTTGTGGTCTGTCAATAGGTTTTCTGTACAAATCAGTCAGTAATATTTCATTCTTTAAAAGGACAGTGACATCAAGAAAGTTAACTTGGGTAGGGGAGTAATCAAGGGTAAACTTGATAATTTTGTCAAAGGTAATGGCATAAGAGATAAAATATTTAAGTGATTTGTGTATGGGGTTTTGTTGTAAAAGCTGATTTTCAATATAGCCCACAAATATATTGACACAGTTAGGAGCCATTTTGGTACCCATTGCAGCATCATTAACCTCAAGGTGATGTTCATTATTGAATTCAAGGCTAGCAAAGTCAGTTACTGTTTGAGATTCTGATAAGTTAGGGCAATTTCAGGACTTCAAGTCCTCCATCATATAGAATATTTGTGTAGAGGGAAGAAATGTCCACTGTACATAAAGGACACAACTCACTTTCTTAATATCATAGAATAAATCAATACCAATGGACATTTACCACCTAATAGCCTTCTGTGGGTAATATTCCATTTAGTGTGAGTGGGATGGCAGGTAGGTTTCTGTAAAAATCAGTGTGTAATATTCCATCCTTTAAAAAAGACAGTGATGTTGGGAAACTTTATTTGGGTAGGAGAGTAATTGAAGGTAAACTTGATTGTTTTAAAGTCTTTAAATGATTCTGAAACAGCTGTCCAAATGAAAAATATGTCATCTATGTAATGGTTCCTTGTATGAGGTTGTACAGATGAAACAAATTACATGAAACTCACCAATGATCTAAAACAAATTATGTTACAAAGAGGATATGGATATACTGAAACAACACTCAACGAAAAACAGTCCTTCAATAGCGTTATAGTAAGGTTTCAAACAGAATTCCTGTTGTTATTACCTATCACTTTAAACTCTGAAAAATTTTCTGAAAAACATTTTATCTACTACAACTGAATGATTGCCCTAGACAAATATTTTCTGAAGTTCCCTTCATCTCCTTCTAGAGGAGCAGAAATCTTAAGGATGTCCTTGTCCATGCAAAAGTGAATCACACACCATTTACCTCATACAGTGTAAAGAATGCAATCACCAGTATGTAGGGCATACTCAAATGACTCTGGGAGATAGTTTCAACAACCATAAATCTTCTATTAACACCAAAAAAAGCCCTCCCTCTTGCCCAATAGTTTAAACAAGTGGGTCATTCTATTACAGATGTAACTCTTGTTGGTATTGAAACTGATTTCAAAACTAAAGCCAATGGAGAGATAAGAGAAGCCTATTGGATTGCAACTTTGTGTAATAAATCTAGATCCTGGAATCAGTGATATATGATCATTTGTTTGTCTATGTAGTATAAATTCTCAATTTTTACTCCCCCAATCTTTTTAATACTTATTATTTATGATAATTTTCATGTTATTTTTTAATTATATCTGATTAACATTCTCTTTTTAATTAATCTTCGTATCTCACTTTTATTTTACTTTATCAACACTCAATGTAGTTTCTCTTGACAATTTTCTCTTTCAAAACAATACATCTCTAACTTCTTTATATTTTTGTTTCTCGTAGAATTTCACCAGAAATGAGGGTCACCCAAAACACTTACAGATTTCTATAGTGCCCTGCATGACATCACTCAAATTTCACTTTATCTCACACTTTGCCCCTGAAGAAGAGAGGTCCATCTTTCAAAAGCACTCATGTTATAGGGTATTGTGTTAAAATTTCTTTCTTGAACCTACTTGCTTTCTTAAGATCATAAATGTATCACATACATATTTTGGTGATGTTACTTTAGTATAGGCTACCCAATGGCAAAATAATAGTGAAGAAAAACTGGTTGACTGAACTAAATATGCTGAATTTGGAAAATGTGTTCAAGTTGCTGTATAGATTATATCATCAGTCTACACTCACAGAAATTAGTCAAAACTGATTTTTCATACTGAAGTTATGATAGTCTACAAACATGCCCAGTTTTATCTAGATTAGATGTTATCTTTAAATTTTTTCATCTTGATTTTACCTTAAAGACCCTATATGGAATAGGTTTAAGTAAATTATATATATAAAATAAATTTCCCAAGTAGAATGTGGTTGTTACAGAGATCAAACTTCCTTTTCCAACTATATCAATTTCTTCAACAGTTTCACATTTTCTTCAATTCTATCTTAATACGTTTGAGGAATATTACATTTCAACAAGTACACTGTTATCTACCAAGATACGGTAGTGTTTAAATTCGATGAGGAACCCACTTTGAGACTAATAATGGTTGGAGACAGCTTGAATGGGTAATGAAGAAAAACTACCTGATGATGACAAAACGTTGTACATTTGCTGTTATGTTAAACTTATATTAAAGTTTTTCTTCATTACCCATTCAAGCCATCTCTAACCATTATTACTGTAGTGTTTAAAAAGCAATGTGTAATGAAATGGAAAAACATGCTACACTCAGCACGTTTAACCACAAGTTTAATGCTCATTTTACTGAGATATTTAAACAACTGCTTTCATGGAATTTTAATCTAGATTTAAAATAATTCTTGTGTTATCGTGCCATAAACTTCATAAATCTAATACTACTTTTAATTGTGTAATACATAATTTGTTTACACAGTTTATAATACAACTTATGTTTCTTACAATTGCTCTTTCTGTTTTCTCTTTATGAAATTTAAATATTTCAACTCAAACTTAATGGTTAATAATAAATTTCATTAATGAAAACCAAAATAAGTATTTTATTATGTATAAGCAAAATTCTCAATAATTTGAGCTCTGCAAAAATTCATTAGTTCAATGTAACAGTGTGACTGTGATTATTTTTCTAAGAGTCGACTCCATGGTGCTCAACAGTTTCATATTTTCTTCAATTCTATCTTAATACATTTGAGGAATATTACATTTCAACAAGTACACTGTTAAAAAAATGAACTTATGACATTGTCACTACTTTGATTTTAATATATATTTTTCACATAAAAAACATCTTGTATGCTGCCTGTTACACTAGTTTTACATGAAGAGTTCCAGTTAGAAAGTTTTCATACTCCTGGTAGCTTGTCAGAAAGTCTGATGATTTATTTATTACAATTAAGGTCAGGTTTCATTACTGTTGGGAACAGCACAGATGGCCTGTTGTGTAGCTTTGTCTTTGAAAATGAAGAAAAACAAATACACCATAATAAGCCAAACATTTATTTTGTACATTTTGTTTTACTTTGTCAAACTATAATGATGCAGATAAAAAAATCTTAGACTCCAACAAGAAAAGAAGTATCCCATGCTTTAGCATTTACCATTTTTAATATTGTTCTTAAGGACTGTCCAGGACCACACTCAAATGTACGAGGAAATGATGTTGTTGAAGGACGCTCGTATATGATATGCATGATCTGTTCCCATTTTACTGGAGAGCAAAGCTGTTTTGATAAGTTCTTACAAATAATATCCGCATTTCGATAATGCTTTCCATCAACATTAGAGTGAACAGAAATGAGAGGTGGGTTAATTTTACACTGCTTTAGAGCTTCTTTTAACACAAGCTGAGCTGGTTTCATCAAGTTGGTGTGAAAAGCACCACTTACAGCAAGATGTTTTATCCTACGTATTCCAAAATCCTCAGCATTCATTTCAATAAATTTCAAAGCCTAAATAAACAAACGCAAAACTTTAGTTGTTTATGGGTAAATTTCACACTAGAATAAAGAAAGGTTTATTTTTGATTTGTTTTTATTCATTGATTTTACATTATGATAACTTCTACATTTTATTTTAATAATAAAATTTTTCTGAGCCTACCTGCTCAAAACTTGCTATACATTATTCATTACCTTTCTAGTTTAAGTGCAGAAATACATTTATAAAAGCAAACTACAGAATAGTGAGCAGGTGATAGAAGAATGGAAGTTTGTTAATGTTTCTTCTTTTGTAGGAAGGTAATAAAAATTATCCTAGTAATTATAGATCTTTTAGTTTTGTGTCAGTGGTGGGAAAAGTTTTGAAAGTCTGATAAAAGATATCTTGCAAAATCATTTAATAAAGCTTAAATTTTTGTTGGATAGTCAGTGTGGTTTCACTATGGAAAAGCCTTTCCATACTAATCTTTTGACATTCTTTGAAGAAGTTATTACTTATGTAAATGAGGAATCAGGTGTGAATGTGATATGCCTGGGTTTTTAAGAAGGCATTTAATGTGATGCCACATGAGTAGCTTGCTAAAATAGTTATCTCTGTAGGTGTGTGGGGATAGATTGGCTCAATGTATATAAAACTGGCTAGCTGGAAGAAAGCAGAGGTTTGTTATAAATGGAGATCAGTGAAACTGGATTAGTGTCATGAGTGTGGTACCTCAGCTCACTGTTAGGACCTTTTGTTTTTTTTTTTAGTTGCATCAATGATATAGATGAAAAAATGGTCAATAGATTATATAAATTGGGTGTTGCTGGCTTTAAGGAGGATGATACTGGGTTTGGATTATTTGATGTGTTGGATGAATAAATAGCAGCTAGCTTTAAATCTTAATAAATGCAAGGTAATGCATATGGGATATAACAATTTGAAATATGAGTATAATTTTGATGAGAATAACCTTAACAGATCTTCATGTTCTGTTTAGCCAGTCTCTTAAGTCATCCAAGCAATGTACTGTTGCTAGTGGCAAGGCAAATAGTAATTTATATAGTATCTACAAAAATATTGAATACAAGTTTAAAGAGTTTATAATGTCATTGTATTGGTCACTGTTTAAGCCACATGCAGAGTAGTGTGTTCAATTTTGGGCTCCTTATCTTAGAAATGACATTGAATTTTTTGGAAAGGGTTCAGTGGTGGGCTCCAACGATAATAGCTGACATGGAAATGTTGTCATATGGGATAGGTTAAGATATCTGAACTTGATTTTTCTTGAGAAAAAAGAAGAGTTAGAGGGGATCAGATTGAGGTGTTTAAGTTTGTTAAAGCTATTGGTAAGTCATGATGCATCCTCTTTTTTTTTGTATCTAATGGTGAGAATGGTAAAACTAGGAGACACAAATATACATTTTGGGGAAAGAAGGCATCTTCAGCAAAGACAGCTTAATTTTTCTAACAGAGTGGTTGACCTCTGGAATGGGTTGCCTTCGGATGTAGGGGTGCAATTAATATAAAGGAGGTTAAAGGAAATCTTGATAAGTATATGAATGATAATAGCTGGCTGATGGTGTTTGTTTTAGGGTTTAATTTAGCATATAGGACAGCCTAGATGGACAAAAAGGTCCATTGATGTCCTTTTATGTTACATTCACAAATTTTGTGGATAATAAAATTAACAGAACTTTACAGTCTTCGATATACAATTTCAAACTAAAAGTAATTGCTGATAGTTTTTCAGTTTGGCTTGCATTGCATTTCACTGATTTCAATTAAAAAGCTACTAAAATTTTCAAAGTAAACATCTAAAGTACCTTTTGATTGTTTTGAATTATTATCAAGGCTCCTTGATATTTGAAAAGATTTATAAAAATGTTACGTTTAATTAATAAAAATGTGTGTAAACACAAAACTTGCTGTACTGGAAAGCTAAACTTTTAAAGATCATATTTTAATGTATCAAGAGTATTGTTTACCTCCTCATTACCAGCAATGACTTTACAGTGAGGAAATAGAAAATTAGCCACTTTACAAACAGGATCTTGAAGACCTTTTCTTATGCACCATTCTTCGGCTGCATGACATGCAAAGTTGATCTTTGCATCTGGTCTGTAAAACACTGTCATCATTCCACTAGGAGTTAGTTCAGATGCTGCCTGCATAGCTTCTCCTCGAATCTTGACTAATCGAACAGCTTTAATTTTCATAAGTAAGATAAGGTTTGAGTAATAGCATATCTTGATATATTGTGATTTACAACATTTGGTCAGAATAAAGAAATGGCATTTGAACATATTTCAGCTTAGAAATAAACTGTCTTCTGTCAGAAAACTATCATATTGAATAAGTAAAATGTTTTTATTATTTTTAGTAGTTACTCTCAAAAAATAAATTTGAGATATTAAAAAATTTATGATCTTGTAGTATTTATAATATTTCTTAACGTACAAGAATTATGTTAATTTTTGTTTTACATCTTTATTTTCTAAAATTGAAACGTAAGTATGCAACATGGTAGCCTAGCTTTGGATATCAAATATTTCAATATTTGATTTTGTCATGTGATTATTTTGAATTTAGATTTACCTGGAAATATGGCAAGCAATAGAACAAACAATAAATGATTTTTATACTAACTTGCATAAATAAATTATAAAGTCAAAACAATAGTATTTTCATGGTTAACTAAAACAAAATGTCTAAAAACTAATTCATTTATCAAAATAAGTGAACAATACTTTAGGGTAAAACTTAAGTATATATAAAATATTTTCAGCATAACATTAGAGAACCAGAAATTGCTTAGGTATGTTTAATTTGTATAATAACCAAGGTCATAGTAAGAATGACACATCTACCTGTATAAGTAACTAGCTGGAGTACCCTTTCATTGGACAGATGAAATAAAAACTCATTTGTAACAAAGGATAGGAAATTGTGATATTTTTGTTCTTAACATAACAAACATTAAAAGTGCAATAAAAATACAAAAAGGTACAAAGTTGTGCTGATTTGGTAGTTTTTCCAAATTTAGATGGGGGTTCCACCCCCCTTATGACCTTCCTTATGTCATCCTGTATCATTGATTGATCAAGAAATGTAGAAATATATAAGGAACAGATACACACACATACTAACATTTATTTATAAGAAAGATGGAGGGGGTCCAACCCTCATCCCCTTCATGACCTTCCTCATGTCATCCTATATCGAGTTTGGTGCTGATTGATCAAGAAATGCGGAAACGTACAAGGAACAGATATGAAATGACAGATACATATGACCAAGTATTTGTTTTTCTGAAACACTTTGCTTTATATAGTAGATATACTGGAAAATAAAACCATACATTGTACAAGCATCTATGTTTCAGTAGACACTAAAATAAAATACAAAAGCTTCAAATTTAAAACTACTCACCTTCTTCAAATGAAAGTGCTCCAGCAAAAGTCAGTGCTGTAAATTCACCAACACTAAATCCTGCTGTTGCCACACAATTTTCTACAGCCTAAACATTTAAAGCATATATGCATTAACTGAAAGCATTTTTTACATGTTATACATTGTATAACCATAATATACGATTAATTTCAATAAAACTTCCAAACCTGATGTGACATTGAAATGAAGATAGAAGTAAATGAAGCAAAGAAATATTGGTTGTGTCAGTAAGCAAAAAAAACTGAGAGTTGGCCAAGTGTGACGATGTTTGGACTGATTGAACTATTATAGCCAGACTGATAATGTGTGGTGGTGAGGTCTTTTCTTTGTCATGTGAATTGGTTGGTTGTTATACATAAATAAGCATTGCTATAATTGCCTGTAAGTCAGCTTTTCACTCAATGTCAGTTATTCTCAAAATTTTTTGTTTGCAGACATCTGAATTTTTTTTTTATTTTAGCACAACACAATGGGATCTATACACTATCTTGCCTCTTCTTTTCCATAATCTTGCAGAAAAGAAAGCACAATTTGAATGGAGCTTGTGGACCACAAATTTAGAAATGGTACTCTTATGTAAATAAGTTATAAATGTTTCATCAATATCCAATAATTATCCCATGCTGAGTTGTAATATTTTTGTCTGATATCAAGTAAAAGCATGCATACAATAAAGAAAAGATAACTGACACCTGTATAAGCAAGACACTTGAGAATGTACAATTTTAGATTGACTATTGCTTGAAACTCAGTCAGATTATAATAAGTCTTATGAACTATAACTAATCAGAGAATTTGTAAGTGTTGTATTACTGCAACTTTTCTGCTAAGAAAAAACACTGTCAGTCACTGAATGACAACTAATTGTTTTACTGGTCATTACACAAGTGAATGACACTTGTTCACTCTTAAACTTGAATAAACCAATAATCATACATGTTTTTATGGAGAAACAATTGCATGTGGGGAAGAAAATGCTATCTTTAATTAACAATCTGTTCACAGGTTTGGTAAAATTGACTAACTCTATATCTATGAAGCTATACATCATATGTATGAATTATATAAGTGTATCTTCATGAAATTTGGCAAGTTTTTAGTAACATTAGAAGTATGTTAGTCTGAGTGATTTTCATGTTAAGAATAAAAATACTTCTTTTCATCTTACAGTTTTCATATTTCATTTGCATAATTCCAGTGTCTTTTCAATTTTATAGTTTTATTCACATAATCCTTTGTCAGAAGCAATATATCACAGTAAAAGTGATTAGTTAAAATTAACAACACATGTGAGTGTTGTGTGTCACATTCTGTTCAAGCTTGTGAAATTTTAAAGCAGTTTTGAAAATGTTAAACTGAGAATTTCTAATTTTCACATTTTAGTTACTTTGCTAAAAGACATATAGCAATAAATAAAAAATATATACATTAAAACAAGGATTTTTAGCACTCACTGCATACTTGACTCTTTTGATTAAAAATTTTAGATGTTCTTCTGTAAGCCCAGTTGAGTCTCACAAGTTTGAGTGTCCAAAAATAATTAATGAAGCTTTCAAATTTATGTTTTAGAACAGAAAAAAATATCAGTCATTATAACAGAACGTCCCAAAACTATAATTTACCAATCTTTCTAAGTAAGCTATCAATAAGTTAAAAATTCCTTTAATGTTCAGAACAATTCCACTAACTAATGATTTACATCATGAAAACTAAACAGTGACTTGAAAGATGTATGTAAAGAGAATCTACACTTTCTATTGGTTATATACATGTCTATCGGCAAGTAAGGTTGATTAGCAAACAATCATGAATGTCAGAGAGAGAGAGATGGGGTGGGGCTCTCTGGTGGGTTTCACAAATTTATTGATATCAGCAAATCAAGAAAGTAGGAAGCTCAGATTTTAGATTATTGCTTTTAATTATGTGTAGCTTGTGTATACGTACTGTTATAAAAAGACAAATATAGTTAAAACCACATAGGCGATGTAAATATCAAAATTAAATAGGTTGAATAATCACAAAGTTTTTGTATATTTCTATTTAAAGAAGGATGACATTTTGAGCTAGCGCTTTTCATCAGTTCATACAGTTTACTATAGTTTAATACAGTTTAACATAGCTTTCAAATTTATGTTTTAGAACAGAAAAAAATATCAGTCATTATTTCGGAACATCCCAAAATTATAATTTAGCCACCTTTCTAAGTAAGCTATCAATAAATTAGAAATTCCTTTAGTGTTCAGAACAATTCCACTAACTAATGATTTACAAGATTTACATTCAAGGTTGTTTCCCAATCAAAGTTACTTGCTGATAGACATGTGTAAACTGTATGATCTGACAAAGAGCTCTAGCTCAAAATGTCATCCTTCTTTAAATAAAAATTGTTCAACCTTTTATTTAATTTTTTTTTACTTGCTGTTAAATACAGAGTTAACAGGTGTGAGCTTAGTTCTAGGGATAGAGTTTGTGAGGTTTATATAAACACAAATATATTGAGGCAATAATGTTTAACACTGTTCTTCTAGTCAACTTGTTATATAGGATCAGAATTAATGATTAGAAAGCACTGTTTAAACAGTAGGATACCCTTACTGTTTAAAATAATTATCATCTCATTAATGACATGCATGAATAGATTAACGAGATTCCTACTAATCCCATCATCTTGTTAGTGACATGCATGAACAGATTAATGAGATTCCTACTAATCACATCATCTTGTTAGTAACATGCATGAATAGATCAATGAGATTCCTAATAATCCCATCATCTAGTTAGTGACATGCATGAATAGATTAATGAGATTCCTAATAATCCCATCATCTTGTTAGTGACATGCATGAATAGATTAATGAGATTCCTACTAATACCATCATCTTGTTAGTGACATGCATGAATAGATTAATGAGATTCCTACTAATTACATCATCTAGCTAGTGACATGCATGATGGAATTAAGGAGATTTCCTACTACACCTATCTACTACCTAGCAAAACAATTAACTAAAAGCTAATTGAAAAAGGGAACAATTAATGTTTATATATTCTAATCTGGGTAAATATTCCTCAAACTTGTCCTCATTAACATTGAAAAAATTTCTTCGTTTCTAGAAATGCTATAGAAATATTATTCACCACAACAACAATAAGCTTGTTACCAGTAATTAATACACTAATAGTGCCCCTAAGTAAGGTTATTCTGGGCAACATTTCAAATACAACTGCTCTTCTTTATAACTTAATTTCCTTTTTTTTTGGCTTTCCTTAACTTGCCTTCACTATGCATTATTTTCCTGTAATACTAGTGTTTTTTATTGAATTTACCTTTAATTTCTTTATTTATACATTATGGAATAAGGTAATGGTTAGATTTTTACAAAGCTGGTATTTTAACTGTTTGAGGACAAAGGATGCCAACACTATTACAAATGGCTGGTTTTCACCTTGCACATTTTTATAAATTTATTCATTCAACAAAAACATCATTCTGAGCAGTTTTCTCTACTGTGCATCGGTCAAGTAACCTAAATATGACATTAAAAGATAAAGAATATCATGTTATGTACATGTACACACAGCTTACCAAAGGCCTTTCATCTTTTAGTTTTTCCACTGCTGCTAAAGATGTTACAAGAACAGCTGCTTGAGAGTGACGAGTTTTGTCAAGTTCAGATTTTGGACCCTCCAAACACAATTTCAGTAGGTCATAGCCAAGTATTTCACTAGCAAGCTTGAACATTTCTTGCACGTTGGGAAACTTTAGAAGGTTATGTCCCATACCAACAAACTGTGAACCCTGAAACACACATATACATTGTATGTTGTTATACATATAGCTTCATTATTTTGATTCATCAAAGTATTATTTGTAATACTGTACTTTTAATGCACTAGTGTAAGTTTCTCTTTAAATGGGTACAGAATACATAGAATCTGTTTGTAAGCTAATATAATTCAAAAACCAAAATAAAGCAATTTTTTACAAACCAACTGAAGCTTTAATATTTTAGCATATGAAACAAGACATATGCAAACATTAAATATATCTTTTTAGACAATGGTCTCTACAAAATTTCTACACCCCTGTAAAAATCCAAATTCAACTACTGTTTCAATATCTACTGACAGCTGTCTATATCAAGTATCTCCTAAATATTTAATACTACTCTACAAAAAACTTATGCTAAAATACATGTTACTTTTGCTAAAAATTTGAAATTAAACTAATGAATGTTTATGTATATCCAATGTGCAAATAAACTGCATTTATACAATATGTAAGTGGCAAAAATTAGGATGAAGTACTCATTTATTTATTGTTAGATTAAATTTTATCTTAAAAACAACAATTATTTTATATCTATAGTTTTCAATTACCACTGCTGTCAGTAATTTTCTTTTAAAAACTGTTGCACAAGCCAGCCAAACGTGTTTTAGTACTGAGCCTAAGATGGTAACAGGGGGTCATTCTGGAAACCACTGATATAGGGTTATTTTGACAGGTCTTAATGAATGAAGCTCAGTACAACTTTTAAAATGGAAAAGAAACTAAATGTTAAATGACATGATGAAATCTATATGGTGATACCATACTGGGCATTATACCATCCTTCTTATATTTACACTTCATTGCAGAAATGACATTTTTAATTTGAGTATCATGAGAGAAGTCATCTTACAATGCATCTGCTTTAACTTCTATACTGCATTTGTTGTGCTATTAGTTTCACAGAATGTTGAAACTAATGATTTCTTATATATGATTCCAATCTCCCTTTTTGAAGATAACAATACTAATGTGCCCATTTTTTTTTTTATGCTTTGCTGTCAATGCAGTAATCAATCTACAAATTTCTGATAAAGCTGGTATGTCAAATCTATTGGGATAACTACAAATAAGCTCTTCCCTCATCCAACCTGGGCCCACAGTTTAGCTTAATTGCTACACTTAAACCATCAAATTTCACATTCACAACAACTTCTAGAACATTTCAATCATGTTTCATTGCTACATCATTTTACTTTACATTTATAAGTTAATTTCTCTATGTTCGCTCTCATGATCTTGGGTCAGGTCTAGCAACCGAGACCTCAAAAATAGTGCCAAATGTTATCTTTTTGTCTAATTAAAACAGCCCAAACTTTTCAGGAATGACTTTTGGATACACACAGCAATATGCCGGGCTGGCTCATATGGCATGTGTTAAAAGACTATGCAATAATAACAAAGAATGCCTGTGTTTTTTTTAACTAATATAAAAAGGAAAACCATTAATGAACCTACCGTTATGTTTTCTTACTTTTTAAATGAATTTATGTTAATAGAGGAGTTAAAATTACTTCAATGTTTTTATCTACAAATTAGTATACTACACTTTTCAAACAGATAGTGATATTGTTGTATATGCCTACCTGCCCAGGAAATAAAATAATACTGGTTTCCTTTGGATCTACTGTTGGACGTATAGAATGAGAAGCCTGGTCTCTTCGGGGATCAGCCTTTACAGGGTAAACAGGTGAACTCCACTCATCCCTATTATCAGTATCTGACAATGTTGCAGCATTCAATAATAGGTTTTCAACATTCTCTTTTTTACCAATTCACTAAACTTGTATCCAGGATTATTTTTTATATTACCTGAAGACGTGTTGCTTGAGGATTTGTTTGCTTGATTACAAAAAAATGAACACCTGTAATTGCTATCAGCTACTGGTAAGTCTGCTCTCCACACTTGATTACTTTGTATTTTTGAAAAACTCCGATTTCCCTTAAGGTCATTGATTCGTAAATAGTTATTAAAAGTAGACCTGGTACTGGTACACACATGATAGGGAATTTTTATACTACCAGTAGCATTCCAAGCACATGATTGTAAATGCAATGATATATCAACTAAACGGTTACCAGTTAATAGAGACCTTTCAAAAATTCTATTGTTAAAAATATATCTAACTCCGCTCAGAACCGATTTAGCTTTCTTGAAAATCATGTTATATTTTCTCATATCCTAAAAAATCTTACCCTACCACTCACCCTTACTTAAGTTATAATGATTAATATTCAATTTTTAAACTCTAGTGAGGTTAAATATAAAAGTATTGCCTTACAGTTACACTAAGTATGGTATACTGTTTCGCTAAGGATCTTAAACTTTATATTATGCTTATAGTTAATTATTCAAATTCTTCGTCAGTGCCATCAGGTACTTTATTATCCTACACACCTAAAAAATTTCCCATTTTAATTTCCCACTTTTATAAATTGTATGTATAATTATTAAATACATTCACGAACGTTTACTATAATTTATAAAACATATATTTAACTACCAAAACAACTATCATTATCAACCAACATGACTGAATAGATGTCGCTAGCCAGCTAGGAGTCATTTCAATTATTATTATTTTAAAAACTAAAATTGGTCAAACTACAAACATCTCCTGTTATAGTGACAATGATAAAAAAAAAATACAGTTTTACCGTATTTGTAATTAAAAGAACTATAAATTTCAGAATTTAAAGCATATATATAAATGTCAACATCTCGGTTTTTCATTATTCAGGTTAGTTTCGCCAAACACTTTTCAAATAAAACTGTGTAAGAAATTTAGATCAAATCGAATTCTTAAAGTATACCAAATAGCAAAGTACATTTTTTTAGCAACTGAAAATACAATAGCCTTAACATTTGTGATAAACTTCGTGTTATACTGAAGATTGTTTTTATACTTTCCCCTAAGGCCTCGATTAGAATATTGGATGCATTTTATGGTATTTGTGTATAATAAAGGACTTTTGAAAGGGTTCTGAGGAGGACGAACAGCGTGGTTTCAGGGACGAAGGGTAATCTTATGAGGATTGGTTAAGATGACTCATTTTATTTTCTCTTCAGAAAAGAAAGATAAGATGTGATCTTATTGAAGCTAACAAGATTATACTTGGGATCAATTCGATAAAAGATTGATTTCTTTGTAATACATTCTGAAAATAATAGGAAGAGGACTGATGTTTAAAACTTGGAAAATACACTCTGCACTTCAGTTAAGACAGATTTAGTTTTCTAACATGGTGACTAACTTATGAAATGAGTTGCCATTGGAAGCCAGAACTTTATAGGTGTTATAAAAATGGATTTGACGACTTCATAAAAAAAAAAATTGGGGTTAACATTTTTACCTTTCCCAAGGGTAAATTTGCAAGTCCCTTGTTGCTCATAACTTAGTTTAAGTTATATACTACGAATTTCAAATAAGGTGTGTAAAAATATCATTTGATATCCAACTTTTGTTTTCTGTTAATTATTGCACAGGACCATTCGTTCAATACCAAATCATTTCAACAAAGAACGAGCCCTTGTTTGTATGTTTCAATGGCGTGTGGTATTCCCTGTTACACGGATTTCCCGCAGAGTAGTCATTTGGGACCCAATAACCAAGGCGGTTTCAACCCCTTCTCAATGAGAGGGTTGAGGTGAGCTAGACAAAAATATTTAGGGTACTGAGGTGGACTAGACAAGAAACTGAGAAACTACACATCCTGTGGGCACACAAACCGTAGTATATAGAAAGTAAATCAGCTTTAACAGTAAACATTGATTGTCAGATTCAGAAGCTATGGGAAAGGCTGAGATACTGTTGCGTATCTGGTCGTTTGTTAATTTCCGGTATAAATCCTTTCCGAGGAACTTCAGCGATACAGGTCCTTTCTTAATTAAAACTAGTTTATTCTTTCTCAGTACAACTTTGTAATATACAGAATTTTCACAGTC